CCTCTCAGCTAGAAAATGGTACAGTGGGGATTCCAGCCCAGGTCTTTTTGACTATAAAACCTTTTTCCCAGTCCCATAATTGTTTTTCTTTAGGCAAACATAGGTATTTATTTGTAGGGTAATGTGTTGCTTTTTTTTTGTTTGTTTGTTTGTTTGTATTTTTTTCTGTGATAATGGATCCAGTGGTTAAAAATATTACTCAATATAATACTACCGTGAGAAGGAAGTTGGCTCTAATGAATATAAAAGTCTTTTTTGTTCAGTAGGTATATGAATTGGTTAAGCTCATGATCTCATCATACCAGTTGGTTTGAAGTAAAGCTCAAGAAATAACAACTCAAATCTTTTAAGTAAATTATGAAATAAGTATAGTGCCTGTTTATAAAGGACTACTGTTTTATTTATTTACCAGGGGCTACAAGGAAAATAAAACATTTGATTCTCAGCCTTCAAGGAGCTTAAAATGTAGGAAGACATTTTCTACAAAATTACTGAAGTCAGCATAGTCAGTGAAAGCTGAGAGTGAGAAAAATATATGGAAAGGTGCTAGATGGAATAAAGCTATAACTCTGGTTTTGAAAAATAGTAGAACGGGGATGAGAATTGGGTTAGAGACTTAGTTGTGTCACAAGTTTCTTACTCTTTTTTATTCCTTGGTTTCCTCATCTATAAAGCGATAATAGTAAAACCTACCATACCTAGCTTGAATATTTGTTAAGAATCAAAAGGAGAAAATACATGAGCATCTATGCATTATTATAACAATAGAAAACACCATATTACTGAGGGAAATCGAAAGGAAGCTATAATTATAAATAGTAGCAAAGGAATATTTCCTTTTACATGATGTCTCCATTCCTCTGTTTCAACAGGAGAATGCCACACTGCTGTCATTCAGGCAGTAGAAGATTTGGATCTGTCTAAAGTCCTTCCTTTAGGTCGTCAGCATGGTATCTTAAATAGCCTCGAAATAGTGTTGAAGAACATTAGTCATCTGATCAGCACATACTTACCAAAGATTTTGCAGATATTGCTCTGCATGACAGCAACCGTATCGCAAATCCTTGACCAACGAGAAAAGGTGAGAGAGACTCACTGTATATGCTTTTGGGGGGCTAATATGAGTCTGTGTTTTATTTGGGAAATTTGTTGGGACCTGAACACGAGTATCTACTTTCCAGGTTAAATCTTTCTTATGTAAAGTGTCTCTTTAAAACAGTTTTCC